AGTTCACGGGTAAAGAGTAAAGTTCATCTTGATTAACTGAATAATGGAAAAACTTTTTTTTTTCGTGAATTTATCTAATTATACATTTATTGGAATTATGCAGTTCTCTGGCTTGTATCACGTTAATGATTGGTCGATTTATGTTGATCTATAGTTTAAGCGAATTTAAATAGTATTATCAGTTTTTTATGTAACCAGTAACGATGTGTAATGATATTAGTGTAATTAAATTTCAGTAGAGATTTTAAAAGATATCAATCCTGACCACACTTATACAGTCCAAGAGAGTGGCATAACACTAAGAGAGTTTCTTTATTATGTGGGTGAACTGACAGGTATCAGAGATGTTGCGGTAGTTGCGGCAGGGCAACATTTAGGTCCCAGACCGGGCAGAATAGTGCCATATAATGGTAAACATTAATTTTACTTCGTTTAATAATAATTTTTAAGAAACGTTTTATATGGAGTTGACGTAAAATAGAAATGGTATTGTTGTTGTAAAAAGTCCTCGCATTTAACATTTTTTAGTCAGTTGTGCGGTGTATAACTGCTGTTTGTATTCTAACAATTTATATAAATTTATCTATAGTTTTTAAGCTAATGAAAGTTTTTTTTTCAGAACTTATAGGAATAGATGACTTTTATGAGTTAATAACAATTATCTGTCAAAAACTTTATCCAGCAATAAAATATGTAGATGTATTCGTACGTATTGTAACGATTGCAATAGCCCAAAGAAAAACTTCAGAATAATGAAATAAGATTCATTTAAATCTTTGTTAAATTGTGAAATGTTAATTTTCAACTTTATTAAATGCGTTTAAAACATACTACTATTTTTGTTTATAATATACTTATTTATTTGAATATAACGTTCACCAATGGTAATAAGTACAGTACAAGTTAAAAAACGACAATTTAGGACATAATATACCTAATCAGCTGGTAATAATTGTTGTTCAGGGCTCGCTTTCAAATCTCCAAAAAAAATTCTAAATCATTTACAAACAACAACGGTGATAAATACCCAGCCCTAGCAACTCTCAATGTGATATCTATTCCTATTGAGTGTACCGTTTAATTTAAATTCGTGCAAAACAATCAACTTGTGGATAAGGAAAAAGAAACAGTAAATTAGAATAAAAAAAGGTACTTTATTGATTCACAAGTTTTAAATGATCACCTCCTTCCCTTTGATCCTAAAAAAATACCCTTAAATATAATACCACTGAAGTACAGTGATAGGGCATAAGATAACATCATAAAACGTTTCATTCAGAAGATATAAGCATCTTTTCTTAAATTTCTATTGTTAGACATAGGTAAAAGACTTAAAGTGTACTAATTATACAATTTCATATACTATGTATAGACGAAAATGGTAAAATGTCAGTTGTAACATGTTAAACATTATTTTTTACATTTAATTCAACTTTTTTAAATAAAAACTCAAAACCAAAAGGTTTGATCCATCAAGCTGTTTTTGCAAGGCATATATATATTTTTTTAAGTTGAAAAATAATAATATTAAACCTTTATGTCTTTTGTCAATAGTTCCCAACACTTTGAAATTTGTCTCATTCTGTAGATGTTTAAACGAATTTTCATGTTTATTTATTTTGGCTAAAAGATGTATTAAATCTTTTACACCAGTCTTACTCCAAAATATGGTAGTTTAAATGTGGTAGTTTCACAACCACAAAGCCATTTGAACTTTTGATAAAGCCCAGTATTAAAATGACGAGTGTATTCATTTTGTCCTTTTTTAGTTAAATAGGGTAAACTTGGTACGGGTCTACCTAAATTTTTTATTTCTACTTTTTTTCCTAATGAAAGAAATTAAAATTTTTATTTTAAAATATTTTGCACGGAATTCGTATCATATTATAGTAAAATACTACTTATAACAAAAAACTAAACGTCAGTAATACGTTAATTAATTATAATTAAAATTAAAATACTAAATAATATAGTCACCGTTTTCCTCTGTTGTCCGTACGCAATCGTATTTCATGATAAAATGAAGACACTTATCAACAACATCGCACATAATAGTTTATACGGCCGCCGCCGTCGATAATATGATATTATATTTATAGGATAAATATACTACGAAAATAATAACAAAGTATTCCTTAACATAAAATATCAAATCAATTATATTATTTCTACTATTTCGTTATTTCTGTAAGAGGTGCGGCCGACCATCGCACGTAGCCACTGATTATAGTGTTAAAGTCGAATTAAACGTTGCTATGGTTTTTGGATGCATATTTTTTTTTATGAGATTGTGTATACAACGGGTGACTGTTTGAACAAGTACACTAAAACAACAACAAAGTACGTTTTTTCTTATTTCAATTGATAGTTATAGACAAATAAATGGCACGACTTACAATATGTTTTGAGAACGTTCCAGTGCTAGAAAATAAATACACAGTTACCTACTGAACACAATAATAACGATGATAAAGCTGTTTGAGCTGCTTCTACAGAATAATATTTTCGTTCATTCAAAACTAATTGTAATTGATAAGAAAGCATCTTGGTGTATATAAGACGTGACCGTCCACGAATATCCCTTGACTAAACTAACCTCAATTTCCTCATTCCCGTGTATAAATTGATTCCTTTATCCGAAGACCTTTCTCGTTACCGTGTCAGTCATTTTCCTAATACTGTGCTACACTAGGGTCCATTAGGTTGCCTATCAGCAAAGTTGGAAGGCGCTATTAAGAGTGTTTTAGGCCGCCATATCCGCAAATTCGTTGGGTGTCGACATACTATCCTTCAACTAAATTATACTTATTTAAGCAAATATCGAATATACGTTTATCGTACACAAGGCTATAGAATTAATTTAATGATTCAATGAGAATTAAATAATAATAATCATCATAGTAGTGGTGATACATTAGTTTACAATGTACAATACAATCTTTATGTCTATGTGAAATTTTAAAACCAATTAAATACTAAAGAATAATTGAACAATTGCATGAGTTTTATTAAATTTTAATAAAAAATAACTTAAGTAGGTACATACATACTATATAACATATAAAAACCGATAGTATATTAATATCAATTTATTTTGTTTACAATATTTCGAATCAACATTCTATAATACAGGTATTACAGTTTGTGTCAATCCATTAGAATCACGTTTTATTGATATTTAATTATTTGTTTAGACAAGTACATTTATGTAAAGTTAAGTTAAAGTACAAAACTGGATATTTTATATAAAAAAACAGAACAATGGGGCCAACTCAGAAATGTATTAACACTACTAAATTCGAAAAGGATTGGACAACGTACTTAAACATATTATAGCAGTACTAATTACAACTTTGTTAGTAATAAAATAATAAAATGTTAATAAATTATTAGATATGTCTTAGAGTGAAAATCCCTCGCAGATCCGCATCCAAGCTTAAAAAAATTTACTAGGTATTGCAAAATCAATACCTACCTTTACAGTTCTCTTTTAAGTTATACCTTATATATAATAAAAAATCACAATGTTTGATAATAATTAAAAAATATTGTATAAATAAATAAAGTTCAAACTTGCCGATGCATGATAATGTATTTATTTTGCAACAACGAAGTATACATTGATTCATTATTATAAAACAATTTTAATTTGATATTTAAATAAAACAAATGAAAAATTCCGAAATCAGGTATTATTATATTACTACTTTCCGTGATATTATTTCTTCTATGGGATACCCAACAAATCACTTTATGTCTCCTTAGCGATATCGACCCACAGATCTCTCTCTACTATCAGTTCATTTCTTTATAGGCCTATGTGCTTGATTTTTTTTATTTTTACATCTATTTCTAATCTGCACGTAGGTGTTTGGAGCAAGTTGACGGTAAATATCGAAACTGCAATTGAGTTGCAACTGTTGCTGTCGACTTCACTGCAGTTGGGTAAAATTTAAAATACAGGTTTGTCATTAGTAAACCAATCCAAGAACCAACTTTGGTAGGGACGATTTTTCTCTCGAATATTTTCAATTACCTCTCCTAAACAGTAACGCAACATAAACGTTGTTCAGATATAAATGTTTTCTGTCCTGTTGTGAGATACTGTACGCTGTTCTCGTGTGGTGAGTTTTCCAAAAAATTCTGATATACTTTTTTTTTTTTTTGTCAACGACCGAGCACATAACCAATGCATTTCGGGAACAACAATATAGAGCAGATGAGCTGTTATACACTGTCTCACCAGAGAATGGTACTGCGCTGAATCCAAACTGTGTCTCTCCTGTCTACGCAGGCGCATACAAGAGCAACGTGATTTTGTTTCTGCACAGTTCTCCCGTAAGACTAAGTATAATTGTATGATTATAGTTGTTTGCAATATCCAAACTTAAATAATTTTTTAATAAATAACGACAATTTTATAGCTTTTCCTCCAGCTTAATTCTCAAAATGCCAATAACTACATAAATATTTGATTTCAAAATATGATACCCGTTTTTTACCAAATAATTAATCAAAAAACGTCTAATACAGGTATAATATATACAGGATGGTCCACAAAGATTTGACAAATGAAGTAACTTTTGTTCTGGTGAATATTTTTGAGATTTTTTTTTTTAATAATTTATACTCATTTGCGCTATAAGCACCGTGGTTTTTATTGCACTACCTGTTTTACTTTTTTAATAGTTTTTTACATCTTTTTTTCAAGATAGCCGTTTTATTCTAAATAATTTTTAAAAAAGAATTGGTGAAACAAATTTATATTTTTATTCATCCGTTCAAAAGTTATATTCATTTGAAAGCGAGGATGACTCGTGGCGAGTGGTGGAGTGCGGTAGAGTAAACCGCGCAGATAACTTGTTATCACAAATAACGTGATATACACTATCACAAATCTGCTTAGAAAATGTCAGCGTTGTCGTTTGGTTGCATTAAAATCACAATAATTATTTACCTATTATTATTAAATTCAAGTCTGGTTTTCGTTAATATATGAGATTTCTATTTTACTCTCTCCTTTCTGTGAACTAGTTAAATTATACTTAGCGTCATAGTAACAGTTTGTATTCATTATTGTTGCTACGGATCCGATTCGTGAGATTCGCTAGATTTTAATCACGATAACTTAGTTGAATTCTATGATAAATATTGTGTCGTGTTTCGATAATATTTTCTTTCAATTTGCGTTACATTTGAGTTTCAACTTGCCGTTAATTATTTTTCTAAATTTGTCAACGTTCTGAGTTCCGGGTTCTACGTTGTGTGAGTACCTATTGTTTTACCTATTGTTTTTATTTACGCTATTGCCCAGTTTTCTGTCTTCCATTTACCAAAAATATTGCTTGTGAATAAATAAAATAATAATTTATTGGTTTTTGTTATTACTTGTTATTTACTCGGTCGAGCGATACGGGTTTAACGCCACTTTAAATGTATCTAGTCGGCAAAATGGTCTAACGTCTTGCTTTAATCTTTATTAGTATTACTATTGTTTTTATTACTATACTCACCAAAATTGGGCTCATAACAGTTATTTTACGATTAATACAAGCAAAAGGACTAGAAACTAAGATACAAATAAGAAAGGTACAAATTACATATTAATAAGATATTTCAACCTAGTTAAATCACCATAAAAATATCAAAACTTTTTATTGAATTACCTGTAACTAACATTCTATTGATCGGAAAGAATAAACTTTAGTTTTGCCGGTATGTAGCTGAGTAAAACGTTTGTGACAAACGGGCATTTATTTGAGGGACGTTTAAAGGTATTTGTTTAAGTAAGTCAGAGCACTCAATTTATGAATTCAACCAAATTTAAACTAAAACAACCAAGATGCATCATGTAAAATTTCCTTCTTTTTTCAAGTGTCTCAAGTACCATAATGACTCATTAGTTATTCAAGAGTTTACCAATTTTGTTTGGTTTAAATGCATGTACTCGCAAAAACCTATTTTCCACGCATTCTATTTTATTTGATTATCTACCTTGATATGGGCTCCAAATTACTGAACCGTATTCCAGTATAAAACGTACTAGAGTAAAGTTAAATATTTTAATACAATCAGATTCTTAAATTCCGAACAATTGCGCCTTATAAAACCCAATAAACAAAGAGATTTATTACACATTATATTTATGTGTTGGTTAAAAGATTGTGTTAGCTTCTTACCTACAAGTCATATTTTAGTTTTGTATTATTCAATTAATTTAAGTAAATTAAAATTTAGTTTTAAATGTTTAAAAAAAACAATAGTATACCACTCAAAACTTTTAATTTTCAAATAATGTAAACTAAATTATTCTTTATTATATCATTATTATTAAAACCTATATTTGTTACTAAACAAAATAGTTAAAATTATGTAATTAAGTCGTCTTATTAAACCTCAATAAAAATATATGTCACAGAAATATAACTGTCAACTAATGTTACATGTCAATTATAGAGTTTGGAAGCTGTATAATATGTTAAAAATTAAAGAAGAAAATGATAAAACTGAAGAACATTCTTTTGAAAATTCGTTTGAAGTCATTGAACCTAAACCGTTAGATGTACAGTTCATAAAGAATGAAATTTCTACAATAGAGGAGTATTTGGTAAAGAATGAAGTCGACAAAACTTATAAGTAAGGCGATTTTTATAACCATTTTTTTTTATCCTTAATAAACTATTTAGCTTTTGTTATTATGTCGTCCTCTGTAATTTAAATAAAAAATGTAATTAATGATGTCCTAATACATTTTCAAAATAGTATTAACGGTATTATTTAAACAATTATCTTTGACGTTATAAGAAGTAAAGAGAAATATTAACTTTTCTTGAGTAACTTAATCCACTTATCTTTACCTTATTCTATACTTAGCTTTTTTTGAGATATTATAAATGATTAAGGTTTATATTATATAAAACATTAGACTTTATTTAAAACTTGTTATCGATCAGTCAAATTTTTCAATAAAATATATACTCTTTTAAAAATAATTGTTTGGTAAATACTATTTTATAAGTTATATATATAATACATCAGTGATTTTTATTTTTATCTCTATAAAAATGAAACTGTTTATTTTATAATAATCATAAAGAAATCCAAAATTTAAAGCGTATTTATATATATTGACTCTCCTTTTAGCTAATAGACCTTTTATGCTTACAAAACAGGCAAAGTTATTGATCTGTTTATAGATAAAAGTCTGAACATACAGGTAAATAAAAATTTGGGCTTTGTAAGTTACTGAGTTGATGAGCATAATAACGTACCCAACAATAAACATGAAACTGACGAATTAGTGAATGAAACACAGTTTGAAACCAAAATATATGAATTCAGCTGTTGGAAACTGATCATGTACATCTAATTTATTTATTAATATTAAAAAAAAACCTATCACTTATTTAGCTATTGAAGTATAAAATCTCATGTATCCTAAAAGATAGGTACTATGCTTCGTACACCGGAGTCCAGTGATACGGGATGAACGCCACTTTAAATTAATCTAGTCGGCAAAATGGTCTATCGTCTACCTTTAATCTTTATGGTGTTAACTTTTTACCTACAAGTCATTCTTGTAGTTTTGTGTTATTCATCTAATTTAAGTAAATTAAAATTAAGTTTTAATGTTTAAAAAAAACAAAGTATACCACTTAAATTTGGTCGGTTTTTATTTTTCGGTCAATGTAAACTAAATTATTCTTTATTTATTTGTATTTTATTCAAGCTTGGGAAATTTAGGACATTAGCTGTCTGTATTATATTATTATTATTACAAATATTTGTTACAAAATAAAATAGTTAAAATTGTGTAATTAAGTCTCTTCCTATTAAATTTCTATGGCACAGAAATACAACTAACATTAAATGTCCATTATAGAGTTTTCAAGCGGTATAATGTGTTGAAAATTAAACATGAAAACGATGAAACAGAAGAACACTCCTTTGAAAATACGTTTGAAGTCATTGAACCCAAACCGTTAGATGTGCAGTTCAAAAAAAATGAAATTTCTACAACAGGGGAGTATTTGGTAAAGAATGAAGTCGTCAATACTTATGAGTAAGGCTATTTTTATAACCATTTTTTTCCCTTAAATAAAATTATTAATCTTTTGTTATTATGTCGTCTTCCTCTTTAAACCCGTCGTTGGTATCAATGTTAGCGTTTCGCTGACATTTAACTTATATTAGGAACCACTTTTTCATATAATAAAAGATTGTTTTAAAACTACATCTACTTCTTATCAAAATAATGTTAAAGTATGATTACCGGTCAAAGTCTACAGTACCGCATTATGTAAGCGTATGTTTGCACAAGACTTACCGTGTTATATATTATATAAATATATAGAAAATATTTATACATTTTTTTTTATTCTATTATAAAATAGACAAAAAATGCGAACAAGGTTCATTTTTTATTATAAAAACTTTATATTAACAGTTTAAAAAATATATATTATAATAAGTATTGGAGTTTGTTTAATTTTTATAAAATACCTTTTTTTTACAATCAAAAATTATGTTAAGTTAAATACAAAATTTTATTAAAATCTTACCATTTTCTTTTATTTATAAAATGATTATTCTTCGACATTTAGGTCATTAGCCATTAACTAACATTTATTGAATATAACTAGATAAACACTTTTACCTCAGTTGCACTACTCTAAGTTCATTAAATAGTTCACAGAAACAAAAAACAACAATGACAGCATGATGCCAACACGATACCAATCAGGTTTGAAATCATAACGATACCTATGATGGGATAAAGATTTTATGTGTATAACGTACAGAAATAAATTAGAATATGAACAATATTCGGCTCACCAAAATCTAATACATTTCTTTATATTGGTTTTACATAAAACTTTGATAATCTAATCGTTTTATCCTCCTTTTAGCTAATACACCTTCTGTCTTCTATGCACACACAACAAACCAATTTAGTGGTCTATTTTTAGATAATATCTTGCACAAAAAGTAATTTAATAGTTTGGGTTTTATTAATTACAGAGTTGATGAGCGTTATAACATATCCAACATTAAACATGAAACTGACGAATTGGTGGACGAATCACAGCCAGACATAATTTGCAACGTGTGTTTACAATCGTTTACTTCTGAAAGGAATATGAACCGTCATATAACATCATCACACGATGGCATTTCTAATACCGAGGTGTATTTGATAAAGAAAGAAATCGGAAATACTTATGGGTAAGATATTTTAAATGTTGCAAAAAAAAATGTTATTTGTTTTGAGTTAATAGTAGATATTTGTGTTTGATCTAAAATCAATAAAATTAATTCTTAAAAACTATGCGTGTTTGATGCGTTGTACATTTAACATAGGTAATATTAATGCTTGCTGTATAACATCAAAATATATTGACTTTAGATAAATTTATTTTGTTTTTTACGTGTTTTAGTATTCATTTCCCGTGTAAAGCGACCGATACTTCAAATGATACAAAAACCATAGATTCCGAGGAAAATGTATACAAAATACGTCGGTTCGACTGCAATATATGTCAAAGAAGATTTAAAACCAAAAGTAATATAATCCGGCATATTGCGAAGTCCCATTCCACCACTTCCGTGGAAAAGAAAGCGCCTCAAAAAAATAAAGTCGATCATCGAAACAGCAGAACAAAAGGGTTTACTCGAAACAATGGTGGCCTATTTAATTGTGGCATTTGTTCAAAAATGTTATCATCAAAATCAAACCTGAGAAAACATTGGCGTATTCATACGGACGAGAAACCCTTTAAATGCAATGTCTGTGCAAAATCATTTGGTCACCAAACTTACCTCAAAACTCATAAAAGGATACATACCGGCGAGAAACCTTTTAAATGCGATGTCTGTGAAAAAACATTCGGTCAACAATCCACCCTCAAAACTCATGAAAGGATACACACCAGAGAGAAACCCTTTAAATGTAATATCTGTGAAAAAACATTTGGTCAACAGTCTACCCTCAAAACTCATGAAAGGATACATACCGGCGAGAAACCCTTTAAATGCCATGTCTGTGAGAAAACATTTAGTCAACAATCTGATCTCAAAAAACATGCACGTATACATACCGGGGAGAAACCCTTTGGATGCGATGTCTGTGAGAAAACATTTGGTCACCGGTCTACCCTCAAAATTCATGATAGGATACATACCAGAGAGAAACCCTTTCAATGCGATGTCTGTGAAAAAACATTTGGTCACCAGTCTTCCCTCAAAACTCACAAAAGGATACATACCGGCGAGAAACCATTTAAATGCGATGTCTGTGAAAAATGTTTTAGTACACAATCTCATCTCAAAACTCATAAACATACATATTGGTGAGGTACGATATAAATGCTTGGTCTGAGAAAAATCGTTTGGTCGCCAAGATAATCTCAAAAGGCATCAAGCAAAAGCACACGACTAAAGCCTTTACATACCTCATTTACCTTTCGTGACTATTTGGCAGTTTTAAAATAGTTTTGGTAACAATTTTTTATTATTTTGCTTTTCTATTTGACTTATAACAGACTAAATACATCTTTTAGTTCCATAATTTACACATGAAAAATAGTAGATGATATTGTTACTATTGTTATTTTATACTTACTGTTGTGGTTTTAAAGATAACTTATTATTAAGGTATATAAGTTTATATTTCTTAATTGGATTTTTATTTAAAATATGTATTTATTTATATCCAACTAATCATGGTATGCAAATAACGTTTTATTTTTAATTATTTTGTTATTTTTAATTTATTGTTTCCACTGTATTTGGAAACAATAAAGAAGTATTAAGTTAATTTATTTAAAAATTGATTTTTAATTTAAAATATTTATTCATTTTTATCCGACTAGTCAAGTTTATGAAAACTATTTTTAATTTTGTGTTTTCATCTGCATGAATATTTTTTAAATAAATTTTGCCACTTTTATATTAATTATGTTATTATATTGTTTCTATTATTTATTAAAATACTAAATAGTAAATTTGTTTTCGCTTGATTTAAAACAATAAAGTATTATGAATTTTCATAATGTTTTCAAAATATTCATTATCAATAACGTTGTTATCTATTTGCAATTTACTTAATTCAAAATATTATAGGTATACAATTTATTTTTATTTTTTAAGTAGGCACTACTAAGTAACAAAATTAGCTAAATCCCTAACTGAACAAAGTAAAAATTATGCACATAATACTCTGAAATCATAAGATATTCACAAAAAAACATTTTTATTTATACCGATACCAATAAATGTCATTCGGGAAAGTCGGAAAATTATACCTACTTCAATATTTATATTTATTATTAAATAATAAGTAAAAATAATTATTTTCAATATATTTAAATAGGAATATTATGTTAATTTCTAATACTTCCTTTACAAATAGTATTGTTTTCTAACCAAACCAGCATCGGCCAATCGAGATTTTAATAAATTATTAAGTGTAGATAATATACAAAGTAAATAAAATATATTCTTACTAGTCTCATATTTTTCAGTAATTTAGGAAATATCGGGGTCCTTATTAAAATTTTTAAGTATGAAACAAGCTTTAGCCTTTAGCCCCCATCCCGAAAATGACACTACATTGCGATACTAAAGTAGCGCAATAACTAAGCAACAAGATTATTGTTTATTCGTCTAGAACATATAATTAAGACTATTCTATCATCATAAATCGCAAGGAGAATATAGATCACAATCCAGGCGCCAGCAGGCTTGTGTTTTATCATTTTCGCCCTTTTTAATTAGACTGTAACTTCTTTTAATAAATCTAGCGGTTTGTTCTCAAGAAAACACCTAATGTTTGAAAGTAATTACAGTAGTGTCTATAATTTAAAATAAATCTTAAAATTATTAGTACTATCAATGATAATTATTGTTTTGTTAATCATAAATCGCAGTTACCGTATTTTGATCACAGGCTCCAACTAACACTTTGGAAATCATCAAGCTATTTTATTTGGTTTTAAGAATATTTCATCGAAAAAACTGAAATAGATACGATACCGTGTGTTTTAAATGAGTCTTTTTTTTTTTATAAATAAACTTTTCAAATAATTACTATAATATTGGAAATTTATAAGACTTATGTAAATGGATAAATTATAATATGAGTATAATAAACAATTCGCTTAAGCGTTGAAGTGTTCTACAACGATAGTAAAAACAAATAGTTGGATTAGACTAGATAATAAAATACAAATTTACTTATTCGGTGAATATTATACATATATTTTATTGGTGTATGTAATAGACATAATATAATTTATATGATAGGTAACAGAATATGTTATTTAGAGTACATTATTATTAGAAAAATCTGAAGGTTGAAACATAATAATTATGATAAACAAAAAAGGAAACATTTTACAATATACACGTATTAGTAAGCATATGTATTTTTAAAATGTGATACCGACCTTGGATACTGCAGCTTTGTTGTTATTGAGCTAAAAAAAAATTAAAATATAGTGTAAATAAATGATTTATTTATAAGCTTACACATGGATTATTAACAATCTTATGCATAAGACATTTTTTATACAAATTTTCAACTTTTTGAAAATATGTCCATTTTAAATAAAATCATAGGATTTACTTTGTTGTGATTATCCATTGTTTTAATTTCGAAATGATTGTGATTTTAAAAAATCAGACTATTATGTATAAAATAATCGTTTATAAAAAAATGTTAAGTATAATAGTCTAACATTCTCAGCATAATTGAAAATAATTTAAAAACAGCTAGTATGTTTGCAAAGCATAAAAACTGGTATTATCTTCCAATTCACAATCATTTGAAAAACAAATAATAAAAAAACCAGTACAGTGGGGTCGGGGAGATCACAGGTTTACAGGAATTTTTAAATCTGAAAGTGATAAAATCACTTTCGAAAAAACGCTTCGATGCAAATCGGTAGTTAGTATTTTCAAGCCAGTACAGTCCAAACCAAGTAAAGCAGTAAAGTAAGAAAGTTTTAAATTAAGGTTCTGTATTTACAAATGAGCATCAAAGCGTTTATTTGAAAGTGATTTTATTCAATTTTATCACTTTCATTTATAATAATTCCTGTAGACCCGTGACCTCTCCGTTTCCTCATTGCTATGATTACATTATGCCTATACTCTACTGTACTAGTCATCTCGGACAAAACTATGTTCACCATATAATATGTGTTATACAAAATGTTACGCACAAAATAATATTATATATAAATCATTTATACTAATTGTAATATTACAAAAATCTCTACACTATCTCTACAAAGTCTATACACGTTAAGCCTATAATTTTCGATAGTAATATAATATTGATATTGTCTACAAAAAGTTTAGTCATGTTTGTCTTGTAAATCTATTGTGGTTTATCGTAATATACAAGTTGACACCATATTTTACACTAGTCTACGTATGTAAAGATGTATATTATACCAAAGTATGTAAATATGTATATTATACCAAAGTATTATTATGTACTCAATTGTCAAGAACAAATAAAGAAACAAAAACACACGGTACCGCCTAGACTACCTACAAAAGCTATGCATGTGAGCACCAAGAAATAATATGTTTTAAAATTGTATTACAATTGACCTAATTTTAAAGGAATAACATATCGTGATATCGTGTAGGCTTTTTTTTTATCTGTATACACTGTAACTTAAAAACTCGTACGGTTTTTTTTTTCAAATTTCGTCTGTGAAGAAGTAAATTTTTTCAACTTTTACCTCCCCAAAGTACCAACTAGATAAAATTTGTGATTTATAGAGTTGCTATTCGAAGGAATTGGTCCAGTATTAAAAAAGTTACAGTGTATACAGATAAAAAAAAAGCCCACATCAGAGTAAAACCAATACCTTCTCGCTTTGCATCGGAGCTAAAACAGTTAGTAGTAGTAGTAAAAAAACATTTTTACAGACTCTATTTGGCTTGTTAAGGCTTTGTGTGAGTTAGCTATATCATTTATGAGTTAATAGACCTGTATTAACTGATCAGTACCAACCGACATTTTGGCTTTCCGTACTGTCAATCTACTACATTAGCGGCGACTGTTTGAGTTTACATTATAGTACACAAAAGAAAGATTTTATGATATATTGGGCCAGGTAAAATTAAGTACAACGATTATTCTTGTAATATTGAAGTATATATATTTTCAAAACATATTATATAGTAGGTACACAATGCATAATATCAAATATTACGTAATACACTACTATTTTTAGTCATCATCGTCAGTACCCCGTCTATCTTCGACAAAATCCGTTGCATCTTCGACAGCACCTGATCCAGATTTCGACAACAGCCTCATCTACAGTATTTTAAATTTAGGTTTACTTTAAGTTTTCCGTTTTTAAGGAGTTTTGTATAGGCAATATTTACAAAAAAAAAAGGTTTCAAGGTATTATTTATGATTTAAAAAAATTTTCCTACGAGTATAAAAGCCATTTCAGTTAACATGTTATATTGTAAAAATAAACAAAACTAACCGGTTCAGGGGGGTTTATTTGTTCGGCGAAGACACAGAAAATGCACAACATCAGTTTAAACGGATAAATGTTATCAACAAAAATGGACTGTAACTAAATCTATTTAACTAATCGTATTTCCACACAGATAATAAAATAAACAATTTCGGATTCTACATATTTTTGCATCTGAAAGGCAAATTTGTTTAAAGTATATAAATTGGCTTGTGTTGTATTGGAAAGCGACATTACGTTGAAAATGATTTTCACACCCAAAAACAGTGGGTTGGAAGGATTACTCACGTTTGGCAATCTTAACATTATCATTGTTGGCATATTTAGATTTATGTTGGTACGACTCACGTGGGAATTCCCGATGCAAATAAGTCGTATTTTCATAAGTTCAAGGCCAAAACTAGCCGCTTATGATACAGACGAAGACGTTGATTTTTTAATTGAAGATTTCCAAATGGTTTTACCGCGCGTTATTAATGCGTTACACTTAAACGACGACGATGTCTTCTGTGAACTCAACAGTATCATCTTGAAACACGGTGCAGATTATTTTAAACAAAACGCAGACTATATGTCTGGAAAATTCCAATATGAAAAGGTTATGCCGTGTTTTAAATATCCCACTATTAGAATATTCGACACACCCGGTTAAGCGCCAATCGGAAAAAGCAACTACGGTTATTGGTGAAATTCAACTGCACTATAAAGATACTCTTGAATTCGATTTATATCAATCTTACATAAAGTTTATCAATGACTATAGCGTTCGTTTTTCCACGTTTTTGAAAAACTGCGGTACAAAAACATGTTGAAATGTTGATTTTTAACTGCACAATTGCATTGGAAATCATTTTTAAAATTTTTCTTTTTCAATCATTTACACCTATTTTGGTTATACTTTATTCGTTAATGTAAAACGTTCAAAACATGTATCTTTATTTCAATTTCAATTTAAATCATACTGTACTTGTAACAAAAATGTTATAATTGTACTAATAAAATATGTTTTGATTTGATGAATCGTGTGAATGTTATTTCTTACATAAAATATTATTATG